ATATGCTGACAGTCAGCTGAACACTCATACCTAGAACTACCCCCGAAAGTATTGGGACAGTGAAGTCCCAATAAATTTCATTTTGTTTATTAATAAACATTTCTCAGGAAAAAAGCTTGACTAATGAGCACTAATCTAAAGTATTTTAATAAACTAAAATTCACCTCGTTGGTCACTTAAATCGATTATTCCTCTTTATTCTGAAGTTGGTCAGGTTTTTGTTAGAAATGTAGGCTCATAAATGAGCTGTGAAAATCTTATCAACCTGTCTAGGTTCTGACATTGCTAAGGAGCTTAAGCCGTCACCTGTCTCATGGTTACTGAAATACATCATTATTGTCAGACAAAGTCTGGATCATGAGCTTGCAACAGTACATATATGCAAATACATACATCATTTTCTAAGCAACAGTTCAAAACATTCTGATCATATCTTATTAATTTCCACTCCAAAAAATCTATTTTTTTCATTTGATTATTCCAGCAGACCCCGTAAATGGAGAAAATAAGATACTATTCTAAATGTTTGGGTACAGCTTAATCAGAAACACCTTTTCATCACTATGTCACAATTAAAAAAGTACAAGGTATATTAAAACACCACTTAATGGCTGAACTGTGTTGGAAACAGTATTAAAAAAGGTTCAAGAGAGAGAGACAGAAGAGAGTTGTCTACTATTTCTACCATATTTCAGTTGTGGTCTTATTCTCAAATCAGATGTCATTGCAAGGAAGTTAGCGTTATTTCTGTACCTTGTAAAACAGCCTTTGAAACTGTAATAAAAAAAGATCCCACAAAATAGCCAAAAAGAACCATATATTTTATATGCACACAACTGTAAGGTCTCTGCATTAACGTACAAAGAAAAAATACCTTAAAGGTGTGCCCCCTCATACCACAAGAGTATTTGTCATCACACACAGCTGCATTTTATAACTTAACTGAATATAATTCTCTTCTTTAATACATGCTTTAAATGTGAGCATTTTGTAAAAAAGAATAATGCAAGATTGTGTTCTCATTTAATTCATTTCTCATGTGATCAGATTTCATAGTCATGAAAGAAACCACAAGTGATCCTTTAAGGCATGATTTCTTATGCAAATCATGTTCAGATTAGTGCTTCACTGCCGAGTTAAAACTACCTGGCATGTGTTCTGGCATTGGACTAATCCCCTGGATTGGTGATTATTTTCAAATTGTGAGAATCAGACTGTTTGCATGGACTTTTATGCATCGCATGTGTAAAGGCACTTCTCAAGCCAAAGTGACAAACTTCCTGTTTAACCTGAAATGGATGTGAAATTGAAATGGAAACATATTGACCACATATGAATACTGAAGATTGTATTCCAGAACCGTTTCTTTAGCTAATATAGCAAATGTCAAGGGTAACATCATGGTCCTGGAGGGATTCAATTCTGCAGGTATTACAGGCAACAGCTAAATCACCAAAAACACTCAGTAAAGACCTGGAACTTGCTTAATGTGCTAATTAAGGCACCATTTAGAATGAAATTATGAACACCTTGTAAACCACTGGAACCAATTTTACTTGCTTAGATGATCAGACACTGAGATTTGCTGTAAGTCTTGATCTATAAATACTGTTCTCTAAGACTAGGTCTGACCAACTCTAGCACATGCAATTGATGGAGCAGACCAATTCTTTTTTAAATAAAACTGAAAGTAACAGTAACAAGGTCAGCCTACTCATGTGCTTTCTTATGGTAATAGAAAATGTCACATTTAAAAGTAATTCTGATAGCTGTATACTCAATAATTTTTTATTTCAAAACATAGCATTAAACTATACATGATATTTTTTACCACGTTAACGGCTTGATTGTGAGATTTGACTCTACAAAGATTTGGCCTTTAGACCAAATGTAAAAACCAACAAAAGGTATACTTTTAGAAAATCTTTATCTACTCCAGCATTCACTTATTTTATAAACTGTATTTTTCCTTCAGGATAAACTCTGATACACAGTTATGCAGTTTTGAATCAGTCTGTTCTACATTCTAGGCATGACTTTCATATTATCCCTAATCAATATCCATATCCATTTCCAAAGCATCAACAAATAACCCCTAAATAATAAAAAGGAGGAAACCACACATTCAATTAAAAATCAGTCACTGTGTACACTGTAAAGGAGGCAGAGATTTACCCTGGGATTGAAAACTTAGACCTTTACCTTTTAGGTGTGAACCATTTCCTTTTAAAGGAGAAAGACCAAGTAAATAAGAAAGACTGCAAGTCAAGGACCTGATACAATTATTAAAAATCCTCCAAAGCCCTGAAAGGTTCATCATGAGGATTTCTTCAGAATAAACAGAGAAACACCAGCCAGAGGACAGAAGTGGAAACTCTGTGGCAGTGTATTTAAATCTAAGAGCAGGAGGCATCTTGACCTCAAAGGGTTGTGGGAGTCTGGGACAAGCTACCCAGCCATATTGCTTTAAAGGCTATCTTGGCTTTCAAGAAATGGCAGAATTAGATTCTTTGATCAATGCACTAACTACCCAACAAACGTGATGGGCTGAAGGGCAGCCTCTTGTTTTTATCATTCTCATGGTCTTAAACAGGTCATTACATGAGTGCAAAGTAGATTTTAAACACAATGTTATTACACAATGATGCATCTTGATCTTTCTAAGGCAAGGCTATTGTCTTTTTCTAAAAGATTTAATAATAATATTTCCTTACACTTAGCACTTTTCTGGACACTCCATTCAAAGCTGTTTACCCCTTCACCACCACCAATGTGCAGTATCCACCTGGATGATATAGTGCCATAGTGCGCCAGAACGCTCACCACACATCAGCTATTAGCGGGGAGGAGAGCAGAGTAATGAAGCCAATTCATAGATGGGGATGATTAGGTTAATTATACCATGCCTGGTAAGGCTCAATGGGAAATGTGGCCCGGATGTTGGGGTTACACCCCTACTGTTTTTTGAGAAACATCCTGGGATTTTGAATGACCACAGGGAGATAGGACCTCGGTTTTACATCTCATCCGAAAGACGGCGCCTTTGTAGTGTCCCCGTCACTATACTAGGGCATTAGGACCCCCATAGACTGCAGGATGAGCACCCCCTACTGGTCCCACTAACACCTCTTCTACCAACAACCTAAGTTGTCCTGAGGAGGTCTTCCATCCAGGTACTGACCAGGCTCACACCTGCTTAGCTTCAGTGGGTTGCCAGATGCGAGTTGATTTAAGCCTGAACTTATACAGAGACTTCGCTATATTGAGTATTCCAATACCTACTGCCTGATACAGTTACGCATTAGCTGCATCACACCCATTAACAGATGATCTCATGCAAAAAAGGAACTGTTAATGGGATGTAAGGTAGCACTAAACCAAAATTATCACTCATTGTGATACTAAGGCAATGCATGTTCTGTCATTACTGTTTTGTAGGGGGGGTTAAGTTTAGAGGCCTTTTACGTATTCTACTACCTTTTTAAATTGTACTCAATACCATTTATGTGCTTGGAGTTTAATGTTCTAACAGAAATACCTTTTAAGCTTAAGAAATATTCTGGGTACAGAACATTTCACTATTCTGCTTCTGTGAAAGTGTCAAATTCTGTGAAAATTCTGTGAAAGTGACAACTTGTACTGCTTTCCAAGACAAACTAATCTTCTGTCATTTAAATTGCTGGCATAAGCATTTTCATTCCTTCTGTTTCACTCCTGCCAATTTTTTCACAGTTCATTAATCAAACAAAATAATGACAGGCTTCTGCACAAGTAGTTTTGTGGGTAGAAATATAATTTCAGTCCTCTTTCTATAGCAGATAATTAGGGACAGGTGAAAAAATACCAGAAGTCAATATTTATTTTATTTTTTAAACCATACTTCTCCACTGCTGGGGAAAGCAATCAGGACTTTCATTAAAGGAATTGGAAATGCCTTAATGTTTTTAGATTTTTCCAGCTGATTCCTTGTCTCACCCCTGCAGAGTTTTTTCATTGAAGGAAAAAAATGATAAGAGGCTTTATTGTGGCACTATAAGTAAAGCTGAATCCTTGCTAATAATAAAACTTATCTGTGATACAATACTTGTTAAAGAAACTAAAATAAGTGATTAACAATACATCATAATTTAAAAGTTCATTTTTTTCCTTCATCCTAATTCACTTTGACAAAAAAATGCTTTTCCCATCCTTCACAGTTGTGAAAATAAGTTTGAACACCTCTTGTAGAGCACAGCATATTCAGTCATGTTCCAAATTGCAAAATGGCACTTAGATGTTCCTTACTGTGAAGAAAACTCACATAAGCATATAATTTGAAATGACAAATATGATAAGAATTTAACAAATGTCAGAAAAGCAATTCTCCCTGATGGTTTTCAGAAATTCTAAACCTGCTCACATTATTAAATACTTCTAGTACAGTGTATAAAACTGCAATGTAAAAGACCTGTTAAGTCCTTCCCCAAAATAATGACACGAATAAAACAAAATAATCTGTAGTGGTGAGTTTTCATCTTTAAATGATGCTGGAAGTGTTTATGAACAAAATAATTGCTTTTGCCAAAAATAGTTTGATAAAAAGCATTTTTTGACAAAAAGGAATGCATTTCAGAATTCTGACATTTCACATACTGTATACACACCTCTGCAAGACTCAACAGAATTACGCTGGAATTTAAGATCTCACATCTTCTGTAAGGAAAATAATAAAACACACTGACTAGAACATTTACTTTGTTCATCAATATTATAGAGTTGGAAATATTCTTCATTATATCAAGGTGCAGGCATGTAAAGTAGTGCATTCAGTAAAGGATGTTCTAGATGAAGCTCTACTGAAGCTCTGCTATATCTATAAGGTCATTAATGCCAACACTTAAAGATGCACTGGAAGGACAAGGCTTCAGAGCATCACCAGAGCTGTGAGGCCTTACCATGGAGGAACGGAAAGGAACGACGAGGAATGAAACTGAATTGTCTGCACGCACAGATGGTCTTACCCTTTGGAAAATATCTTCATGCATTTCGTCAGCATCACCATTACTGGTCACTGAAATTTCAGCTGCAGTATTTCTTGGGGATTCCTCAGCCATCGCAATCTCCTACAATAACACACAACAATAACAAAGTTGAAAACCATTTGACATTTGAGAAACTCACACTAGCAACACGCGAAGGTACTTTCTAAGGTACTGTGAATGACTCCAAAATGATCGCAGCTTTCCTGACATGAAATCTTAAGAAGGTTCTAAAGGGGAGCTGCGCAGTGTGCAACAGCACAAGGAACCAGCAGAGGTTAATTCCACTCTGGGGGGGAAAAAGAAAGGAAAATGCACAACGATTCTGACGTTTGAAAATGATCTTTAAATTACAATAACTGAAGACAGCCAAGATTTGAGTAAAATACATATTATAATACTCAACTATTATTTACTTTAATAATAACAGCACAAGACCTGAAACCTCTGCTTGTTCCAAAAACCTTAAGATGCTTCAACACTATGAAACTGCGGTTTGAACTTATATCTGACTACTAAGACTAATAATTGTTTGCATTTTGAAAACACAGATTTCACACACTAGGGATGCTGGAAATTAACAGGCTGTTCTCCTTTCACTACATTAAAAGAAGAAATGCAAATTTACAATTTCAATACATTACTTAATATCCTGTCTTTAATTTCCTTAAATAATCTTTATTCCATTTAAATGTAGTTTAAAATAACTGAAATAAAAGAAATGTAAAATGACTATTATATAATGACATGACACCCTTTACCATTTTATTGAAAAATGTTTTAGAGATGCAGTATTTAGAATAAGGGTCAAATTTGTACACATTAGTAATGTTACCATATTCTAATCATATCTTGTGGTGCTTACCTCGTCATTTTGGACACATATGCTAAACATCAATGTATTTACTTGTCTGGGACTATTCTTGGGATACACATTGTATGTGAGAGTATAAGTTTTAAAATATATGACAAAAAAGCCTTTTGTTTCACTGCAAACACACACTTTCACAAAAAATGCATCTATTTTTAAATAAAGGTTACAAAATAAAATACAGCATACATTTACTCTATATATTTGCCCAGTAAGGACTTGGAAAACTCTCAATAAAAGCTTTAGTTTGTGTAATAACTGTGTTGCCTAAAGGTGTGTATTATACATTCACAGCACAAGAATTAACCTCCCCTTGTTTGAGGAAGAGGTGGAGCACAACAGCTTCACATTCAGTGTTCAGTTATGTAATCGCCATTTAAATACATGAATAAAAATGTTGCTTACTCACTTTTGCCTTCCTTTTCCAACACTACAAAGTTGGAAACCTACCAGCTATACAAATACTGATACTGGAAATGTTTGCACTTGAATTCATTTTAGAATCAAATAATATAAAGATGTACCTGTGTAAAAACATTTAGAAAATGGTTTATTTGATTGTTGCTGCATAAATTCTTCATCATCCCTTCATAACTGCTACACAAGCACAAGCTACATAATTCATTAGGGACATGCGCAAACGACTTAATGTGAGTAAGAGGTCATGACCTTTATTTTAGCATGGTTTATTGCTTTTGATCCTAAAACAAATGCCATGACCTCCTATGCATGTTATGTCACTTGCATTAAAGCATAATTGAGTTGATTTCAATATCATATAGCACTTATTATGGGATTATGAAGCTATAATAGAGCAATATTCAAATAAAGTGTTGCCACTATTAAATACTCATGACTAAAATATCCCCCATGTTCCCATTTAAGCAAACAAGCCACATAAAAATAAAAAGAACACAGTCCGTCTGATGATAGGAAAGTGAGACGAGCAGATTTCGAAGAAATTAATCTTTCCTTCCTGAATGTAGCCTTTCAATCTCGGCAAACAGGGCAGGGGGTTTGCAAAGACAACATGACCATCCCTCCCACAGTCTCTTGTTCTGCGGGTTCAAAACTATTAGTGGCCTCTTTCCCTGCCAAGTAGCCTTTCAAAAGCACACACAAACACATCATGCGTGTGCCATTACTATGGGTAACCACATGCTGGGAATTCAAACCACAGGAGTGCACGCCATAGCGTACAACTAGTCTGGAAGCAGCAGGAAGAAAAACCAAAGAAAACCCTAATGAGATATCCACCCTTTTCCACTGGTAAATAGTGGATAATAAATAAATCACCTGCTGGAAGCTATGCTCCACAAATTCTCATTAGATGAATCAAGAGTCATAAGCCATTGAATTGAAAGTTGATAGTTTTCCTCCAGTGTAATGGGGTCAGGTATGAATGAGTTAAAAGACTAGAAGTCGCCCAGTTGTTGAAGCTGATACCCTGGCTTCTTTCAAGAAACGGCTGGATGAGATCCAATGGATCAATCAGCTCCTAACTGCCGAACAGGCTTGTCAGGCCAAATGGCTTCCTCTCTTCTTCTGACTCACGCTCACACCACTGGGATACGAGTGTCACAAGTAAAACAAATGAAGGAAAGAAATGAGAGAAATTGAATTAAAGAAAATCCTGTTTTTACAGAAGAACAGTACAAATTCTAATGACAAAAATCTTTAATTTACCAAAACACCCAATCAGAAATGTGAAAACCCTTAGCTTGCCTCTTTTCCCCACCAACTAAAAATGGGACATGCATGTTTTTAAAATAAAAATACTAATAAGCAATAAGACCTATTTAACAAATGTGAATTTACAAGAACTTCATTTAGAACACCAAGACTATACTCTTCAGTGTACAGGTGATGTTGTGCAGAAGGGAAAGGTGTGTTTCTGGAGTGCCTTTCTTTTTCTGGAGTAGTTTTCAAGTATTACCCATTTTATCACACTGCTTACAATGCCAGGAAATCCAGAAAAATAAAATGTATCTGCTGTATTACAAAACAGTAATACTTAGAATGATAAGAACTATCAATAAGCTCTCTTCTAAGTTACATGCTGCCATCTAATGGACAGTCAGAAACTAAAATTAAAAATTCAGTAGGCCTAAAGAGAACCATATTTATGACTATCTGCCATGATAGCTTTTTGAAACCTGGCTACTAGATTCCTTCTAGGTGAAGAAATGCATGCCAGTTTATTAAACTAAAATGACAATGTTAGAACAATAATTTAATGGTCCACTACATAAACTTTCAAATACTAGAATGATACTGAATAACGAAACAGTGCTACTGTATACTTTACAAGACAAAAAAACATCCTTCAAGTAACTGAACTGGAAATCGTACAGCTGGGTTTCACTTGTAAGAAGCTGGTAATGTTAAAGGCAAAATATAAAAAACAAAGTTAAAAAATATACTAAAGAAATTAACCATTTTCTTTTACTTTTCTTCAACTGGAGGATCACTAGAAAAGTACAGTGAGCTGACTTTGTTCTCAATCATACCTCCACTCACCCAGCAGTCTATCACAGCAAAACAACTTTCAGCTAAGTGAAAATTATATGTGCTAAGACTAGGATTTTACTTTAATTTTGTAACAGATTTTCAAAAATATGACAGTGTAAACAGTGAATAATCGAATGGGTCCAGAGCTACAGTCAATTAAACTCTTTAAATTATACTTAATTTTTTATGCTTATTATAACTGAGTGATAATAATTGTTCTCAAAAATCGTAATGTTCTGTGATAAGAAATTTGGAATTTCTGACAGCATTTTAAGCAATTAGAGGTAAGAACACATTTTTGTTTATAGTAATGTAGATCAATACTTAATCCTGTGTGAATCAGCCACACCTGAGAATTTCCCTTCTACCATGTGTCTATGAGCTCATACTCACTGACTACCCTAAAGTACCTTAGTTTCTCAGTGTTTGTTCATACTCATTTGAGAAATTTGAGAAATGCCAATGACAGGATAGTGGCTGGCTGCCATCTTGGATGTAGCCTGCACTACAGGTTGCATATCTTTTTATTCATTGCTGTTGGCTTGTTTTGCATATTAAAACCAAAAATAATGATCATTCAAAAAAAGTAATTTACTGAAATCTGATCTAATATTCATGATTTATAACATATCACTAAAATATCTGGTCAGGAAAACACTATTTAAAACAGGAGGATGCAAGCTTTGCTCCTGAGGTAACTTGTGCTGGTTAAAGCACAAAAACATTTTAAACATGAGATTGCTTTTTTTTAATAGAATTTTATTTACTGTATATTTGGGAGAGCTGAAAGGCGAAAGACAGCATACCTAGTCTAAAAACGAATTAACTCACCATGGAATTTGACTAGTCAGTGAGGTCATATACAACTACAAAGACAGGTCACTACAAAGCAATTCAGGTGGCTTGAATTGTAAAACATTCTGTATTAACATATATAGAATATGAAGTCTTCAATATTTATTTCTGATTATTCAAGGAATCCAGCTTTGTTTAAACTATAATTAATTTTGAAGGGTTTTGTGTCCCCTCAATAAGAGAAGAGCATGGAAGACCTTTGTTTTACATACTTTCACAAATCACTGAAAAGTAAACACTGCAATTGTGTTTCACACAGTGGAGAAGTAAAAGGATTTTTCATAATATGATAAATGTCAGGAGATTTATAATACAACACATGGCAAAAATTACCAAAAGCATAAAGGCCCACTGGAGACCTCTGAAATAAGCTTATAAATTAGAAGTTGTAGGAAGAATGAAAAGAGAGATGTATTTGGGAAAAATAAATAATTTTACGTTCTGGACAAAACAATAGACAAACATAAAAAAGACAGAAAAAGATCATTATAGCATGCAATGATAAAGACCTCAGTTCTATAGTATTCTCTACAATTTAAATCAAATATATAAATAAAAAGGAGCAAAATAGGCTGAAGATAATTTTAAAATATGAAATATGAGATTAATATGAAAACAGTCTCTGTTCAGGGTGTAGCAAAAAATACACACATTTCATCCAACACAATCAAGACTTTTGTCTTAAGTCAAGTTTAACAAAAAGGTGGAAAATCAAACTATAAGTAACACACTGTATACTGTTTTTATTATAACGTTCTCACAATGAGGCAATTCCAGCTTAAGATAACCATACCAATAAAGCAGAGCCATGTATTAAGCCACAAAATGATATCACCCAAATCCTCTTTCACCACCATGCACATGGCTACTCTCAAAACACCTGATAAAAATGTTCTGTTTACACCATGTGAGACTTGTAGCAAAATGATCATTCACCAATAGATTTGAAAACATTTAAATCTGAGCAAACTCAACTCTAGCTTTCGACTTTGCTGTCCCAAAAACTTTGAAGGGCAATATACATAAGGTAACAGAAAGAAATAAGCCAAGTGCTGGACTTTATCCACATAAAGTATAAGGAGCAAGTCACCTCTCCTTTGTAAAAAGTAAATAATTTACTATTTATGTTATAAAGTTGTAACTGGACTATCCAACCCCCCATACCAGAAATGTAATGACTTTTTTTCATATATACTTACATTATAGCATGTATGAACTTCCTGCTGTAATAACAAAACTGCTATAGCTATTCCTTAGTTCTCTCAGAATGACAAGTTAGGTACTGTATTTCCCAGCTGAGGCTCAATGACCTCCACAGCAGCATGACACTCATTCTTTTACAGCTCCTGATAGCAGATATCTTTGTGTTGTAAGTGTAGCAGCAGGGGACTGGCTCAACACATTAAGAGCCAATCAGAATTGTGGAAATGACTTAAGTTGAAGGTCACACATTTTATTGCTTTGTTTAAGTGCAGTACAATCACAATCCTATTTACATTTGCTCTATAAAATTCAATTTTTTGAAAATATGAAAAATTATTTATTGAACAAATTGTACATAGTGTATCTGTAATTTAAATACCAAAACTGTACTTCAGTACATACAAAGGGGTACACAAATCAAGTTAAAACAGTTAATAACATTATAGCACCCCAACAATTATAGTGGCTTGGCTGTAAATAATAATAATTGTAGAATAATTGTTTTCAACTAAGTGTCTATAGGACCTGATTGGATCTCAGCACATTAGTCTCACAGCTGAGACTCTTTTGAGGCAGCAGTTAAATGAATTAGAATTCAGGAGAATTCAACTTTTATTCCTGGAATAGATCCCATTATAGCAAATTAACTGAACATCTGGAAGTCAACCTATTCTTGGAACTACACTAAAACTTCCAAATCTCACCAATTTGCACAACCCCTCTCTTATTTAACTGGTTCTCAACCTTTAACTTATCACAGTCTTTGAGGTTTTGGGTAAAACACAAATTCTGGAAAATATTTTTTCTTCTAAGACATATTTTAATAAGTCTAAAATTGATCACCTCTTTATGCTATACCACATGGATGATTCCAGATGGAAATGTCCGCACTGAGCCTGTCACAGATGTACTCAGGGTATGCCTAACATCTATTTACACATGCTTTAGGAACACCCTGTGACAAAGTGCTATACTGTACATGTATATATAAGCTACAACATCAGAGCAGATTGCCCCAGACTGCTTCTTCTTACTGACACTTCCCCGACCACAGTTGGTTTTCCCGAAAAACAAAAAAAAAATAACATACGCTGAAATTAGAGGTTCTTTCCAATGAAAACAATGGAGTAAGTGGGATACATATAATCTAAAATCATTTCGTTGGCAATTGTTAAATGTTTTGGTCAACAAGGCCTTTTGCTGACAGGTTTTATTGAAGCCAAAAAATGTTGTGTGGTTGGGTGGAGACCAAGATCCCTCTTAATCTCGCGTGCTTTTCCTTTTACATCTCTGTGTATGCTCTGTGTACAGTATGCTCTAACTGAAGACTGCTAACTGTAAAAAAAAAGGTTGCAGTAAATGTCAGCAAAACTTAAAGAAAGATGATTGCATAAGTATTCACATTATTAACTCAATATTTGGCAAAAGCACTTTTGATACGTATTACAGCCACAAATCTTCTCGGTAAAGTACCAGTTTTGCACTCTGTGCAATGTTTGCTCATTCTTCTTAGCAGATATGCTCGAGGATCGCGTATGGACAGCAGTTTCCAAGTCCTTCCACAGACTCTAAATAGGGCTCAAGTCAGGACAATGACAGGACCAAGCTGGCAAGAGTCAGTCTGCACGTTTACAATTCAATCATTCTGAGGTCCACTAATCGACAGTTTTCAAGGGCCACACTGCTGACACTTATTTGTCAGTGTGCCTTTATTCAGGTGTACATTCGGCACAGCAAAGCAGGTTACCATATATTTTAATTTTACAGTAGCTGATATTTGTAATTTAAACACTACTACAATTAAACAGCAATAGTAGTAAAAGGGGGAGATGTTTAATATTGAATAATATTAAATCAAATGATACTGCATTGTCACTCAACTGGGACATCTGCTATAAGTATGCTATTTACTGAATGCTTACACTGTCAAGATATAGGAAGGACATAAACTGGTACTGTTCAGCATTTGCATTACTGCTTATAAACTCATAAGTAATGTGAACCTACGGTGAAGTATAAATCACTAGAAAATTGTGTGGGAAGTCTACTTTTGTAACATAGAAACACACAAAATCTATAATTGGTACAACATGATCAGATTCATTTACTGTACATACTGCAGAATACTGCACACTGCTATATTACATTGTTCCAAAAAAAAAAAGTGTCCAGGCTTTTTATGTAGATGGTAGCATATACTGTATAGAGACGACTGATAACTTTACCACACTCAATATACAATTGTATCTGTTTTGTGCTTATACAGATCATTCCACGGGAGCATTATTTTATCAGATGTCACACTAGGACAGATTTGTTTGCATTTCAATTTTGTCAGTAAGCAATCCAGTTACAGGGTGCCACAGCTAATATGAAGTATCACCCAGGAATGGTGAGTGACAGATCAAAAACTAGTGAGAAGTCAAAATACTACACAGCAACTGCATAATAGTTGCTAGACAGTTAAAGCAGAAAAGACCAGGGATAGGTTGTCACTCATGTTCTGGGATGCATGCCTCCTTCATCAAAACTATTTCCATGCTTTAGTTTGACTTAAGTGGCATTCAACTACATCCATCCTGCTTTTACTAGGGTTCATGCCAGGGCAAATGTCAGCAACTTTTGTAGCTGTGGTCCGCTTACAATACTTTAAGTAAGTGATTCCTTGGCCATCCTTGTCGTCTGTCACACAACTGACTGAACACTTTGTGACAAACATGGCAGGCTGAACACATCATCTTCATCTAGAAGCTACTTGGGTCCATAAGCAAATCCTGGGTCCTGGATTTATTTTAGTCTGATTCAATCAACATGTCAGCAAGGTAAAGTCACTTTAGGGGTAAAACAGGCAAGAGCTGTGTAGTATGCACATTACCCCCTTGAATTCTGAGTCACTATCAACAAACAGGGGTTGTGTTATAAATGTACAAAAAATGGAAATAAAACGCTATTGCATCCTTACATAGGCCTAATACATTGTGGACAATTAATGTCCCTAAGTATGTGTAGAAATTTGTTACAGACAATAATATATTTAGTTTAGAAAACTGATTTTAGAAAAGGAATCAACAATAAGAACATTTATTGCTAAAGCAAAACAAAACCTGGAACATTTTGGCTTAGGCCTACTGCATGTCCTAACAATGTTTTGAGGACACAGAGTAGCTACTGCTCCACCTTTAGGTATGACCAGAAAAACATTAAAATAGTCACAGCTTCAAGGAACTACAGTAACACTGATGGGCCAAACTACCTCCTTCCTGTACTGTTTTGATGTTCAGATACACTGAGCCTGTTAGTATTTATTTTGTAATCAATACAATGCAATTAAAACATTTTGGAAATAGGGAATCATTTAAAACCAGTTTAATGCTGCTAATTTCAGTAATTTGTTATTATACATATGCTACAACAAAATGAACCCAGGAAGGTTTCTTTATGCACTCACAAATCACATTAAACCTCTTAGCATATTTAACACAGTGGCAATATAAAACTCATATCAAACTCTTAGGAGTTATTTGGGAAAAAACATTCTTAGCATGACAGCGATTTATTTTTATCTTCATCTAAACGAATAAGCTTAATTAATATTCTCATCACCTCATTTGCCTTCTGAGGATCCTCAGCTTGAACCTTTCCACCTTCAGTCTCAATACTTACTTCAGACATTCCTGAAAAACAGACATGGAACCATGAAAACAGTTTCTCCAAGAACACTCTCCACCTAAAACACAAAATTCTAAAGTATTAAAGTCACACATACCCTTTTTTATCCTTTCTACCAAAATGTACTTTCTTTAATTCTAAAACCAAATACCGTACCTGTAATTTAGAGTACAAACCTACACCATTGTGAGACAGCTTTCGTCCTCCTTCAATGCCCTATTTCTAAATACACACCTGTAAACCAGTTACAGAATAGCTTACACACAAATAATACATATCAGATGTCAAAATATTTCCATGTCTAATGACCACACTACATGTATTTTCCCTCACCTGCATACTCAAAATACAATGCTACTTTAAAAGTCTTAAATTCTTCCAAAATGACATTAGTTGAAGACTCGCTGGACTTTTTCACATACAGTACAGCACTGATGTCCAAGAACTAGTGCATTATTCTGCTCTCTCTGAATCTGTCCAACCTGTAATCTGAATTTTGATGCTCATATTCCCCTAGCTGAACAAACTTTTTTGCAGTACTAGAACTTTCTTCATTAGCTGCCAAGTTCAAGTTAGATTTGATTGTTATCTGTTACTCTTACCACTGGACTCAAAATGACTTGGATACTGTCAGTATACAAAGTCATCACAGACTAGTTTCAAGTGCTGGACCTTGAATAATTTTAAGTTATGTACCCACTTGGAAAAGAAAAAACACAATTGCATACTTAAATATAAGAGCAAAAAGCAAAGTTAATTACATTTCAATCATTTTAAAAGAAACAAATGGAAACTACTTTTACATATTGGGTTAAGAAGGAAATATATGGCTGGTTGTGGCAGTCAAAGCAGTTTTGTGCTCTTTTTACCTCTCAATCCTGGCAACGTAAAAGCATGGAACACTGTGAATAACCACTGACAATGCTCACAATGTCCAGACAGTAAGCATGCTCAGAATCTAACTACAACACAGAGTATAAGCAGAAGAAGCAGTAATTGGGTCTTCACCTGTCAGTGACAGCACCACAGGCTCAGACCTGGAATGTGGAGGATACTTGAGTTATGAGATAAAACATAAGTCAAGACACATCAAGTCTGAGCAAGCAGGCTATTTGTTTTAAAGCAGCAGTAGCAGAAGAAAGAAGTTGAAGACAGAATTCTCTTTGTCTGGCATTAAATATGAAGACGTCCTTGTTCAGCTATAAAACACCACTCAGTACAAAAATCTAATTCAACGAACGTTTTGTAGTACCTCCAGCACATTCGTTTTTCAAATGAACTTAAGATATATGTATATAAAAACATATACATCATACACTTTAGGAGTGAAAAATGAAAAGTAAACAAGACTAGTATTATATGCCCTCTTATTACTAGGATACTAGCAATCCATGACAGAAATTAAAAGCATAACATTTCTCACTAGACAGCTTTAAGAGAAATGTGTACTGTTGTTCACTGTGTTAACAAAGCAAATAATACATATAAAAACCTGGATCCAAAAACCACAAAGAATATGTTCTGAATCTCAAATGACATTTTTCTAAATGTTTCTGCATGGTAATGAGACTATTTTAATTACTCAAAAAAGCTGCAGGATGATAATATAAAAACAAAGAAATAAGCCTACATTATGACACTGTCAATTAGGGAGCTGTGTAATAGCTGCATAACTGGACCTCTCTCCTACTTTCCCCACAAGTTATGAAAGTGGACACATACATTTCATTAATATTCTCACTGTAAGATATGTTTACTCTATTAAAATAAAAAGTAGATATTTCTTTCTTCTACAACATTCATACTGTGCGACCGGCGACATTGGGGTCATACCAGTCTCATATTTCATATTGTCAGCACTGCCATATTAGATGGTTCTTCTATTGTTTTTCACCAGGGCAAGTCTGTTTGGCTCTGTATGCTCTTCACAAGCAGTGCAGTGAAAAAGCACATTCACAGTGATTTCTTACAGGCCCACCCTAAGGAGGATGCCAACCCAATACCAAAGGGAAGTGCAAATATCTGACATAAAAGAACACATACCACAACCAAACAGGTTGAATGGCTCTGTTGTTGATGTCACAGCTAACCCATAATCCTTCTAATCAAAGTAATTACAATACAATTAGTATCCACAATGCATTTTAAGTGAGCTATTTTTATGTATATTTTTAGGGTTGTAGAAACCTCCAATTGATTGTTGTAAAATCACATCAAATCTAAGTCTAAAGGGAATAAAGGCCTAACAGTGAAGAACTGACTCTTGGATAAAGTGTTTTATATTCTACAACAAAATGGACTTTGGAAGGAAGACTAAAGGTACACTAAACTTCTACAGTTCACGTATCAAGAAATAAAAGCCATTCCTTGAAGATAATTAGAGGTACATTAATTTAACAGTCAGCAAACTTTGCAGGGATAAGAAAAACCACTGAGCTCACACTAACATAATACATATAACAAACTCTGCTTTCCATTGAAATGTACTGATTTGAATAAATGAAAAATTAAAAAAAAGCCTTAGATATGTATGTTGCTATATAGGATATGATCTTCTCTTTTGCCATGAAACTGTGTAAAGCTAATCAGATTGGATAAGCTGCTTTGTGTTTATTTTACATTTATGGTATGTACGATAACCAGGGGCCGGGTTTTGGAAGGGAGATATTTCCCCCATCACATGTTACAGGTGCTTGATATGAACACAACCTCAGCAAGACTGCTGACAGTTGTTTCAAAACAGTTGTCAAGAAAGCAGTCTATCAGCCATGAAAATAATGTGAAACACCTGACGATATAAATCAATCACTATCTGCTCAATAACATGGACGCCTAGTAGGTAGAAGCGAGGGAGGCGCACGTGGTATTGTGATTGAAAACAAAAAAGAATGTTGGTTTTTGATTTAGACCTCACTCGTCAAGCAGGTAGAGCTAGTTTTATATAGCTTTTTTGCGGTACACAGGTGTTTAACATTATTTTGATGACTGACAGACCTCTTCCTTGACAAAGAAGGGGAATTTTATTCTTAAAATCGGGAATAAAAAATGTTGGAGGAAGTCATTAAGCCATGTTGCAAAGACCACTGCTTCCAATCTGCCCGATGAAACAGAACATCAGCCTAGTCATCAGTCAGTAGGAAATGCACAGCAGGTACAGAACTAATAGAGAAATACAGAATAAATACTAAAAAAGTGCCCACTGAAGTAGAAGATAAATAAAATAATTCAGTAAAAGGCTCTACTGACAACACCTGTAAAATATTACTACTAAGAAAGGTTAACTACTGAAAATAATGAAATGATGATGCCGCTGATAACAAACACAAATGTTATCAACGTTTACATCCTAATGATGGGCCCCAAGGCCAGTGTTTCACACTACACTGGCAATCTTTCCCTTGGGGAAAAAAGCTGACTATGGATTCTCATATCCAACCACATGCATAACAGCTGATCAGAACAGGAGAGCGTAGCACCCTGGCTGTAGAATACTCACAACTGTTCTCCACTACTCTGGGCACTAATCCGTGTAAGATATGCTTGGATAAAAATAAAGTCTGGTTACACCACAAGGCTATGCTCAACAAAACAAAGCTCCATTTCATTTTAACAAGATATCAAAATCATTAGGTTTAAAAAAAACTATAAGATTAAATCAATATGAATATTTAGTCTTTTCAAATAAATAAAATAGGGTCAAGAAAACAGAGGTCAGAAAATAATCAAGCAACTATGATCATAATAGGACAAATTGTGTATCTTGAAAACGTGGTGATATGGAATCGGTAGAAAAAAGATGGCAGCACTTTAAAGATATACTGCTTGAAGCACAGAGCAAACATCTTGTGGATCAAATAGATACAAATATTCATTTGTTCCCTTACCTATTAAAGCAATTAATACAAAAAAAAATGGCAAGGGTAATTGCAACTGTGTCAGTATAAGCCAATTAAGTTGTAATAAACTATGTTCATGTAATATGTCACGACCACACTGTCACGGGTTCTGGATGTGTAATAAATGTAATGTGTAATGTTTTGTGATGTATTTAGATGTACAGAAGAGCTAAGTGTCCATAAAATTTTCCCTTAGGGGACAATACAAGTTCATCTTATCTTCAGCCCACAATTAACTACATCAAATGCTATAAAGCAGTAGTCCAAGCTGTTTAATATATCATTAACAAAACTTTAGGGAGAAAGAAATCTGTTCTTGGCAGCACAGTGGCACAGTGGGTAGCATCTCTGGGGCTCTGGGTTCAATTCTGGTCTTGAGGTGCTATCTGTGTGGAGTTTGTATGCTCTCCCTGAGTTTGTGTTGGTTGCCCCTGGGTGCTCCACCTACAGTTTTCACCTACAGTCCAAAGTCATACTGGTAGGTTAAGTGGCTTCTGAGAAAACTGTCGCCAGATGTGAGTGTGTGCGTGTCTGTGTGCCCTGTGATTGACTAGCGTCCTGTCCAGGATGTGCGATGCCTTGAGTCTGCTGCCTGCTGAGATGGGCTCCAGCGCCCCCACAACCCTGAACTGGAAAAACTGTTCGAAAACAGATGGACGGAAATCTGTTCTTCATTTGAAGAAATGCAGAACAACAAATTGCAAGCTTTGCATGATTAGAACAAATATTGCAATGTTTTTTTTTTTAATGAAAAGTTGTTTTGTTCTACAACAGCAAAAGAACAGTAAAGGATGAAGTAAACTGTCACAAGAGACAATAGGAGCCTTTTAAAATTTGAAAGGAAAATGTCTATTTTCTGAGGACTTAATTTACATGTTAAGTAAATGACACTTCTACTGACTATCAGGAAAGAAGATGCCACTTCTAGACCTCAACACAGGAGTACCCACTGACTAGAAAATTGGAAAACTGCCCAAGTAACACACAACATACAAGGCATGACAAAACCAAACAAAACAATTATAGACTTTTTATCATCTGCTCAATGAAGGGAACTGGCTGACAACTATTTGCTCTGAGTGAACTCTAAATTACTGAATTTACTTAATCACTTGCCTAACTGATCAAATTTCAACAGGTCTATGTCTTCAATGCTACCATGCTGCCAGAGATTTCTAAGACTAAGCTGGAGACCACTGTCTTTACAAAATTTCAGTTTGTTGGTAACTGTTTACTAACTGACCAGATTGTTTTGTTCCTATTTTCCTATGAATGCACCTGCATTTAAAACTGAAATCAACATTTGAGAACACCGTTAGTCCTACTTGCAGCACAAATAAGATTTCGGCCATGGAGCCTTCTTCAGGTGTGAGCTGAAGAAGGCTTACACCCGAAGAAGGCTCCATGGCCAAATCGTTGTGTTTTCTTTCTTCTCTTTTCAGCACGGAATAAACCTATTACTTGTTCCTTTGCAGCCTTTGCATGCTGACGCAGCTACCCACCTGAACTACATATATCATATTTGTTCTTTTTCTGATGAAATACAAACATCCCGGCTGGAAATTCAGCCACAGTTCTTAGCTTTATCTTATATTTAAAGAGGAAACAGTGAAAAGAACAATTACATGGAAGACTATATTTATTGGCCTTCCAGGAGTAAGGTCTCAAAAAGGGTCCATTTTGTTTTTAGCAACCTAGGTTTGGATAGTCTTGTCTCTTCTCATATCCCATCATACTCTTACTCCGTTTGTTCCTATCTCTGCCAACACTCTGGTCCTGTTTGCTCTTGAGTTCCGTATTTCCCTCCTCCCTTACCTTACTGTGGTTGAAATTCTGACTCGTGATAGAAGCTCAATGCTCAATCACCTTGTGGTGCACCATCAAACCTCGCCTGTTCACTTGAAATTCTAAATTTTACAGTCTTTTCCAGCTTTACAACTATTACTTCTTGTTCTGGCATGATACAAGTCTTTTGATATTTAAAAGGTACTGACTAGCAAAGTAAACAGGACAGGTTAAGAACTTGAAGACACCAGTAAAACTAAGAGGGTGTACATTTGAACTGCAACGAAGGGGGAGCTTTTCACAAAAAAGGGTTAACAGTGACTTGAACTTCCCAACCATGTTGTCAACGCAGATTAAGATATTTCAAGAAACTGGAATGATGAAGACTCAGGAATATTACACTATCGACCAAAGATGAGCCAATTGTAACTTTTCCTATGTTTTTACTCTATAACAGTAATATTGTTTTACTGCACACCTATGGTCATGCAGTACATGATACTGTTTTACACTGTACTTCTTGTTATTCCATGCTGCATTTGTTTATCCATGTAACATGCATACATCAATGTTACTCATACACAGTGCGATTTAAATAGTTTACTTGTACTGATGTTTTCCTTTAAATAATGTTTTATCTGTAAATGATGTGACAAAGGAATCAGCACAATGAATGAGAACACTGATGATAGGATACTTCATCATGAGAAAAAAACTGGCTAATTTTAAATACACAGTACAGTGACTGTCATGTCTATAATAACTTAGGTCTTTATGTTCACGCTTCTACCAGATACTGAAATGTTAAAATAAAACTAGGCAAACGATGAACAAATGAGGAAGACAGAAAATCAGGAAGCGAAGGTGTTAGACGATACCAAGCATACCTCTGACAATTGTAATCGGAAGAGCAAATAAAAATGACGTTGGTCATACAAGAAAATAAATTGTAACTAAGAATCTAAGGCATCAGAATTACAGTTTACTACACAGTACTGATGCAACACGGCTCCTTTAAGAATGCAGAAGGAAGCGCATCAACGGCTCCATCTGGATGTGAGAGACACGTAAACGGTAGTTACACAAGCCAACTACAACTCTTAAAACTCCCAACAACTCCTTCATAACACAGCATCAACTTTAAAACGTACGTTAGGTTTATATGTACAGTATGCTCCTCTAGTTTCAAGTGATTTCTAATAATGCCAGGCTACTCTAATGGTTTTTTCCTTTGAGCCCTGGGTCTAATACCGAAATCCAATACTTCCTGAGAAATTCTACTCGAACTCATTTAAGGCTTCACAAAGCAAGTAACACTACACTTTGATTTTTAAGGGTAACGTCTTTAGAAAGGGGAAGTGAAGATTTGTTCAGAATTACACAAGCAAGGCTAACGTTTATAGACGGCTCTGTCAATAACTCCACCGCTCTGGGGAATCGTACAAGACGTCAGCCTAATCCTCGACGTCGCCCACAGCACGCAACTTGATCCACAGCCACAGAAGCAAACTTGCAAGTCCCTCGTGAAGCCGATCACAAAAACAGGGCTCCACTTGTGCCTTCGTCTACACTAGCAACCAAACTGAGCCGTTCTCTCTCAACTTTTTGTGCCTCCGCCACTGGCACCACTTCCCACACACCCCCCTGCGACACCAACACCTATGGTCGCGACTAGCTTACCGCTGTAGGGAAAATAAACCGTATCTTCAACAACAACAACAAAAAAACGTTTCGCCCTCCTACTAGAACAAGCAAAGAAACTCTTACCTGCTATTGTCTTCCGGGGCTCTACTGTTCTTGCAAATGGGGTGGTGGCGGGTTTTCGTCTTGGCGATGCCGTTGCCCTGCTGTGTTGAATTACAGTGTTAGCACTAGCAGCGTTTTGCAGCACCCATTGGATCACCCCCCCCGCGCGCACACACTCACACAGTGGAGTCGCAGAGACCCGGAAGGAGACGGTTTCCAGGCGAGAAGAACAAGAAAGGGCAACAACATCCGGGCTCTTTCTCGAGCTGAAGGGGCGCAGCTTGGGTATCCCTTAATTGCACTGCGGGCACGCTTTGCGGTTGCGTATACAGTATGTACAAGAACTTCCTTTCGCGAACGTAGTACTGTAGTTTTTTTTTTTGCCGTCATTGCAAAAGTAACTGTAAAATAGCCAACGTTGAAAATTATTTTATTTATCAGTATCGATGTATTTCTGTTCATTGTGGAAATATTTTATTTAATTTATTTTCTGCACGCTTGAAGGAGCGTGTAAAAACAACCGGACAAATGTCTTCCTAAATACCCCCTTTGTCGTTGGATAAGGAAAGCACGGTTGCGGGTTATTATGTAAATGTAAATGCAAAATTAAAGTGGACGTTTCAGCTTTGAATTCGTTGTTTTAAAAGATGGGTCACCTTAAGAGACAGGAGACAAGTATTTTTTTTTAAGCTCTGAACACAGTAACCCTCCCATGATCAGTTCAAAAGAGCATCGAGATAGTGTTAATGTTTGGTCGGTCTTTATGTATTTTGTATATTTTATATATATATAAATAACACGGCTATCAATTGTTGCCTGTTTCAAGCTAAACAATATAGAAACTATCTTCTGTGAAGGAAATGGAACTGGAACAGAGACGAACCAACTCATTTTTGACTTTTTGAAATTTGATAATCCAGAACCAAATAAAACCAGTGTCCATCCCTGAATATATAACATAACATCACTTTATTAGCCCTATACAATTTCTTGCATTAGGAATTTGTCTTTTTGCATACCTCCAGCTTGCTCTCCATGAGACACACAGATAGGGAGAGAGCCTGAGGTCAGAGCACAGAGTCAGCCATTTTACAGCACTCCTGAGCCAGCAACCTCGCAGCCACAGGTGGAGATCCTTACCCACAGAGCCACCACTTCACCCCATATTATAGCAGAAGTTCAGGACTGTCAGTCCCCAATAACTGCAACATGGAATGAGAAGAGCCTCTTTATTGAGGTGAAAGTAAACTTAAGTGCTGTAGCTTGTAAAATAAAGCAAACAAGATGGTACCAGTTATGAAATAAAAAACAAAACACTCATCCATGTACAAAAAAAGATCTTGAATGCTTGTCAATCATTCCAGAAATCATGGTGTATGTACCAGTTAAGGGACCCATGCTTTGGGTCAGACTAAATGATTTTAGTTAGAACCTAGGATGATTTCAGGGTGCAGTATTGGCTGGCTAGATTATTTGATGTCACAATATGGTCTTTTCACTCTCAATCTGTGGAATGTCTTTGATCATCTGCAGGCACTTCAACAGTTTGGTAGCAGACTGTGCTGCCCTATTATTTGAATGAATATCAAGCAAGATGTGTTTAATGTTGGCGAGACAAAGTTGCTGTATCAGATGTTAAACTTCGAGTACTGCTGCCTTTAATGCTGATGGTAGCAGTCAATATGGATTTTTTTTCATTAGATAAGATCACTTTATTAGCCCTATACAATTTCTTGCATACACACACATAGGGAGAGAGAAGCCTGGGGTCAGAGTGCAGGGTCAGCCATTGTACAGCACCCCTGGAGCAGCTGGGGTTAAGGGCCTTACTCAGGGGCCCAACAGAGTAGGATTGTAGGATTTGAACCAGAAACCTTCCAGCCACTGGCGCAGATCCTTAGCCACGATATGGATGGGTTGGAAAAGCTTCCTTTGTTATTAGTTGGTACAAATAAAGACCTTAAAAACATCGGGTCACTACCAGTGGATTACAGGTCAACCAGCACAGGATGCCTGACCCAAGAAGTGTGAAAAATGTCTTTGTAAATTGGATAGAAGATTTAATGCTCAAAAGCAACAGATAGCTTTGTTAGCCAATGCCCTGTGTACCCCGCATATCTCCAGTTCATTGAGCTCTCGCCTTTCCCTTTTTCTATGACAGCTAATGAGCACCCAATGAAGCATGGAACCATTAAAAGCTTTACCATAAACTTCAGGCTCCAGCTGCTGATCAAGCGGTTTATTGAGTGTGTGGAGAAAAACAAGGAGTTCACTTTATCACCGTTGGAGGTAGAAGATATGTTACACCTGAGCTGGAGAAGTGTGATTGAGCAAACATTTTCATCTAGTTAAAAAAAAGGCCAAATTCAAGCCACAGAATGAAACAGCAGGCGGGGAAACAATAGCCAAAGACAACAACAGAGAACGTGCATTCCTGATGTAACATCTGCAGGATTTTAGTTGCATACCAATAATGACAATAATGCCGATCCCATTTTTAATTTACTTCTTTATGTAACTGTTTTAAATTTCCTGCCCGTGTCTAATCCAATAAGGAATAAAATTAGGCTTAATTATTTTGTTTTGTCCAGTGGATTTACAATAATGTGAACTGGTGCAGTGTACAGAAATCACTTGAGATATTCATAAAGTATTTCAGGGCTTAATTGCCCTGAAAATGCATCTTGGAGAGTTTGCAAGAGGTTTAGCAAAATTACTTCAAATAGTCTTCTTTACAATGATCTAGTGTGTGGTAAACACATAACGAATTATTTGAAACACATGGATCTCCACATTACATAGTTTAATCTAACTGCTAAAAAATGACATTAACTGACATTGTACACAATCAAAGAAAGCAGAGGAATTCAGAAGTCTCGTATCATCTGAAATATTTAAGTATTTAAATAGTTTCCAATATATAATATTTGTCAAAATGACAAAAAAATGAACAAATCAGCTGACCTATTTCAGTTGACAAAAAGTTGTACAGGACATGTAGTAATCTCCAGTAATCCCTACAGTGTTGTCAATGGATTACACTTGATATGTCGGCTGGAAGGCAAGTGTAATAAAAGGCAACTGAATATAAATTAAACTTCACTCAGAATGACAGATTATATGAAGACTTATACAAAGTTGTACAGTAAGATGCACAACTAATGTAAGTGACTTTTACAGTATGTGTTCTCACTGCCATTGACAAATACTGTCAAATAATTTGTTTCCTGTTTTCAAAAGGAAGAAAACTGGTAATTATTGAGCATGCTCTATGTGGAGTTTATTTTACATCATAAGAAAGTTTTCAGAATACATGAAAACGAACGCTCCATTTTAGATGAAGCACTTAAACATAACTTGAAAAAACATGCCACTGGGTGTATGGGAAAACCTTATGTCACTTGCCATACAGATTATCCTCTAGTTAAGTTCTAATTATTGTTTCCATAGCCTTAAATAATTAATAGAAACTAACTCCATTTAGACGCCATCTGCATTGATGGGGCTGTATTCCTGCCAATGGGTGTCACCCCTGTCTCCAAACAGTTGCTGCAAGATTTTGCTAAGCAGACCATTATTAAGCGAGCCATGCAGGATCAGGCAGTGCTGTGTTCTCAGTATATTTCAAGATCTAAATTATACATGTCATTTCTTTTTTTACAGCTCAGCATTGTATCAGAAAACCTGCTGTGTTTCAAATTCACTCACTGTCATCTAATAATGACTTGTTTACTTTTGTAAAGTCTTCTTTGTTTAAGTTGCTGTAAATGTAAAAAAATCCCTTTAAATTCACACTCAAGTCTCAGCTGTCTGCTTCTTTGAAACCTTGTAGCATTGGTCGATCAGATGATCTATAAGAGAATGGTGAACAAAGTGCTTGAATCGAATGCATTGGGACATGGTCGAGACAGGAAATGGGATGCTGCTTTTACAAAGAAGGACAGGTATGTTGATTAGTGTGCTACCTGTCAGCCAATGCTCAGAATAATCTTTAATTAAACCAATGTTTATGTAACAGCAAGAAGTGAATTTGCTACTTTGTGCTTGAGGTATTATTATTAAGGTTGCTGCTGGAAGAGGTGTTAGTGGGGCCAGCAGGGGGCGCTCACCCTGTGGTTCATGTGGGTCCTAATGCCCCAGTATAGTGACAGGGACACTATACTGTAAACAGGCGCCGTCCTTACTGACTCTCTGTGGTCATTAAAAATCCCAGGGCGTTTCTCGAAAAGAGTAGGGGTGTAACCCCGGCATCTTGGCCAAATTTCCCATTGGCCCAGTCATGGCCTCCTAATAATCCCCATCTTGAATTGGCTTCATTACTCTGCTCTCCTCCCCACTGATAGCTGATGTGTGGTGAGTGTTCTGGCGCACAATGGCTGCCATTGCATCATCCAGGTGGATGCTGCACATTGGTGGTGGTGGAGGGGAGTCCCCATTACCTATAAAGCACTTTGAGTGGATTGTCCAGAAAAGCACTATACAGTATAAGTGTAAGCAATTATTATTATTTCCACTTAAATCCACTGATGACCTTAAAAACTAAGGTACCAAAGAAAATTACACATGAAAGTAAAACCAGTATTAGTTAAACTTATTTCCTCCTTAAACTTAATTTCCTGGATTGCTCTACCTTTAGCTCTACACTGGCAATAGCCGTTATTGAACACGTCACAGCTACAGCTACAACTGCAGTGAAATAGGAGGAAACATGACAGTGCTTGTAGAACACATTTGTGCCACAAGATGGAGGCAATGAGACAGACTTCAGAAAAGAGTTCGTGTTTTGGTTCAGAATGTTCTGTGTGTTATATCTGGAAGAATCCTTACAACACTATTTATTATTCTTATGTATTATAGATTTTGTAATTAATCAAGTGAAGGCCTGTTTTAATACCTGCCCCTTATGTTTTGAGAAAACCCTAAATCCAGGATAAAGCTTGATACATCTAAACTTAATCTTCAAAAGATTTTGTTTCTAGATAAGGTTTATGACAAACAACCAAGATGAAACTCAGCATAAGTTAATGCATTGTATGGCTACACCCTGGATTCTCTTAGGCTAGTTGCTTGCTGTGGAGAGCCTGTATGCTCCTGGGGAACAACATTCCCATCACAGTCTCATCTTACACCTAGACATCTTACATGGACAAGGCAAGATGTCTGATATAGCAATTACAGTGCACTATCTCTTAAAAGGTTCTGTTCACTCTGTTCAGTCCTTTGCTTCTATTATAAAGATGCTGCTCTCTGATCCCCTTTTTACCCCACCCTCTGACCAATCTGCATTATATTATAGCCATCTTTAAACTAAATACTATAGTAAACCAATATTTCTTGTGAAATAGATCATCCATCCATAAAACTAACTACAGTTTTCCTGAATAATGAATGCAGTACCAGCACTCAACACTCACTAGCTCAACAATGCAACTTGAAAAACAAAGAAAGTCAAAATACCAATAAAAAGAATGAAGGTAGTGTAGCAGAATAGATTTCTAAATAAGGAAGAGCATGTCCTGGGCTAACCTGCAACCAGTCAGAATTAGTGTTCAGTGAGTCATTATTGTATCATAATTCAGTCAGTTGTCTTTTCCCCAGGTTTAGGTTTAACAGACTTATTTTCCAAGATGAAGGACATGACTATCCTAGACTAATCCTGAGCTCATAAATATGACTGCAAATGAAGTTCTAAAAAAAAATAATGGTACCATAATATTAGGTCTCAAAATTAAAAATGAAGCAAAGGAAAATAAATCCCAAGAACCAGTCTTGATATTGTGTTTTTCCATATTAATGTCTGGGCACGCTACCAATTTAACAGTTAAAAGTCTTATAAAAGGTGAGAGTTCATGTGCTAAAGTATCATTAAAACAATTTTCTCAGGACTTAATAACCGATTAAAATATATTATAGGGAAAGATGTTGTTTGTTATGTCCGGGCAAGCCACAGCTCATCGTCCTCGGTCTCCACGGAAACCAGCCGCATTCCCACGAGACTCCCAGAGCTGTGAGGTCTCACTCGGGCTGCTTGTCATAACCACCCGCCATCAATTAAAGGGTGATTATTCCATCAGTCCAAGACAACCTTGATCTGCCTGTAGTCCAGTGCTCTGTCATTGAGCTGCCATCTGGATAGGGTAGTGCCTGCTGCACAACAAGCCTGCTTCCAAGAAGGACAACAAGCCCGACTTCAGCCCGAGTATTTGTTCGTCTCAAACCCGCTCTGTCTGTCGGCCAGCCAAGCACCGGACCAGTGACAAAGAACCGTAGCTCCTGCCAGACAGCCCTGAGTGTCGGCACAGCCACCGGGACCTGCTCAGCCCCTTCAGCTGCAGTAGCTCTCGGTCTCAGATTAACCTGTGTGCCACTGCTGTTCAGCTATCTCTACCTGCCTTCATACTCTGATCTGGTTCGGCTATCTCCTTCAGCTTTAGTCATTCCCCGAGGCTTGACTGGGATCAAGGGTTTGGATTCCTCTGCCTGTCAGCCAGACATGGTTTTCTACATCTGATTGCCCTGTCGTAAAATTATTATCATAGGCTTTACCTTTCCTGCTGAAATGATTGACCTACCTAATACAAAGCTATTCTTCAATATCCATTTTAATGTAGTGCATTTGTATTGTATTGTTTTCAAAACTGAACAGTGGTGGTTTCTTCATGTTATTGATAAGATCAAAAGTATGCCCCGTTAAAGCAGCAGTTAAGAGCAGACTGCATGCGTTATGAAGAATTTTCCAGTTAACAAGGTATCTAACAGTGGATAATATTGAATCCCTGGTAAAACGATGTAAAGAAAATGCAAAAACCTCACCGTCCCCTATTTCCTGGGAAGTTAGGGCTTCTGGCAAGTCTGCATACCTTAGGTGGAGGAATTTACTTTTCAGCAAGCAAAACAGCAACCAGGCTTGTGGCTACAAGCTCTTAGCTGATTGCATCACATCCGACAGAAATTACCCTGTTTTAGTCAGAACCTTAGGTAAGAAAACTCAGTCAGGAAACAGGAAATACAGAATGTCATGATCTCAAGTGAAGAAATCAGGGCACAATGGCATTATGTCTTCTTATGATCAAGGCAAAAAGCAACGAAAAGACTGGGAAATGGCCTTACCTCTGCTGTTGTTGCTAATTGCAGGGCTAGCTGGAACTGGTATGTACTAGAACAATTCATTTCAATGAACATTTTCCTGTATAGCAGAGCTGATGGTTCCTCTTTTTACAAAAACCTTTTCATTTATAACCAGGTAGGAATCTTCCTTTGTTTTTTAAAGGCTGTTTGAACAGAATTGCTGGTCTTACTCTGGGCTTGGTTAAAGAGTTTGAAATTTCTTCTGAGCAAATGACAGACCACGAGATGTTTAACCTGGGTTTGTTTTGAATTCTTGTGGTTATTAGGCAAAGGTTATGAGGCAAAAGTGCAGCTTTCCTGTACCTCACAAAGTTTTTTCTGTTAAATATGACTGATTTCTTCACCTTCTAGGTGATTTCTAGATGTGTAGAATTAATTTTTATGTTGGTTTTATTTCCAACAAGTAGTTCTTTACAAATCATCACTTTATTCACTAAATTAGAATGCCTACAGTTATAGTTCATTTAATTTTTTTGTACAATATGTGGAGCCCAGTGATAACAATGGCCCCACATATTGTACATTGAATTCATAGCCTGAAAGGCAGCAATGCCTTTATATTTCTTTTTTTTTCCACTGACATTAACCATGGTTCTCCTCACATTGTTCAGATGGAAAAATAAACAGGCCATAACATAAAATGCTAATTGTGTTTAGTAAAATATAGAAGTTAAAACAAAAAGAAAGTAAGTTTCACCTGAAATATAAAAATGAGGTATATTGTTGCAGGAGGTTCTTTAATTCATAACAATATTTTACATGGGTAACAGCCTGTGAAGTCATTAAGTATTTTAGGAATATTATTGAACAGAACCATTGGCAGTAGCCAGGTAGAACAGAAAATATCTTAGAGAGGTGATGTTCAGACTCCAGTTTGTAAAAAGTATTTTTATGAAAAGAAAACACTAAACTTGTAAGTTCATCCTAATAAATGTACTCATCCTTTTGAGTATTTTTCTTCTTTGCACTTAGATAGTCAAACAAGTCAGGGCTAACAGGGCAATTAATATCTTTGTCACTTTTCTTTGTCATTAGTTCAGTTAGTCTTGGTTTACAGTAGGAGTCACATCAAAAGAGAACATTCTAAATGTAGCACTGAATTCTCTGTCATAGTTTAAATGTAATGGTGTTGAAATGTTTTGGGCTTTTATTTTCCAATACACTTCATATTGTTATATTTAACTTGATTTGAAGAAGTCTTTTAAAAAGTTTAATTAATAATTATTTAATTAATTTGTTGCAATCATAATGGTGTGAAAGGGTACTTAAACAGAATTTCTATGTTTTTGAGTCCTCCATTAAAAACCTTCATATGGAGAACAGAAGAAGTTATACAGTCAAGAAATTACATTTCTGAATTGTCTTTGTTTACAGCATGAATTTAGGTTAAAGAAGACTGAATATATTTGGTAAGGAGGACATTTGTTGGTATCCAATGGGGCCTAGTTAGAACCCCAGAAATCTCAGTCAAGTAAAAACGTTAAACCTAGGAAACAGAGGCTTGTGTTGATCTGGAGAAAGAGGGCAGATCAGTTGGTGAAGGATAAAGAACATTATAGGAATAAGGAGTTGGAATTTATTTGGAAGCTGATTTTTTATTTTGAGAAAACTAGAGTATTTTATGAAGGTTCCCGTAATCAGCTTAACTACCTGGTCTTATGTTTAGTCTGGTACTCAGTGAATTATGTAGGGGTATCTTTTGTGGGGTTTTTGTGTTTCATATTTTTTCTGTGTAAATAAATGTACCCTGCACAAAGGTTAAATGACTTCATTGTGTTGGTATGCTTTTTGTACCTTAGAGGTCAGAACAAAAAGATTCCAGCTTTGTTGAAGAGTAGTTCCAGTATTGTTGTGGCTCATATCAGGGCTATAGTGTGGCCTTAAAAAGCAGGATTTTTGCTGATTAATTGAAAATATGTATAGGTATTAGTCAAAGTAATAAGAAAGTGTATGCCTAAACTAGGGGTGTTGTAATTTAGAGTACCATAAAAATCTGCCTTATGACCACTGCTCTTCCTAATTTAAATTGAAGATCCAGATTCTGCAATAGTTAGTAAACTGTTAAGTTTACATGTTTTATGATTAGTTTTCACATCCATAAACCGGTACTAGTGTTCAGATTAACTCCTGAACACAGATTACTCTATCTACACATTCTGTGAGCTGTCATTCCATCTCTTTGATTGGCTGGGATGCCGATCTCTATGCTAAGGTGCTTTCAAGCTGCCTGGAAGCCTGTATGCACAATAATAAAGGCTGTATGATAGTGGTGTTCTGAAGTGTATTGTGCCTCTGACGCAATTTGCATACCCCCCTCCAAAATACGCATGCTGCTACAGGCATTGTCTCCCTTGTGCCCTGCTATTTGCTGAAACCCTATAGTGAAGATTGACTTCAAAACTGAATGGAATGATATTGTTCTTGTATGCACTGTGATGTACACTGAGAAGGGAAAATGTACAGAACAAAAATTAGGTTAAGCGCTTAGATCAGGGGACCATGTGAAATATTCAAGACATACAATATTATAGTGAAGGACATAAGATAAGATCACTTTATTTGCCATATTCAATTTCTTGCATTAGGAATTTGTCTTTTCACATACCCCAGCTTGCTCTCCAGGAGACACACAAAGAAGCTTGGGGTCAGAGTGCAGGGTCAGCCATTTATACAGCACCCCTGAAGCTGTTGGCGTTACAGACCTTGCTCAGGGGCCCAACAGGCTAGGATTTCTCTGTCAGCCATGGGATTTGAACCAGCAACCAGCACAGATCCTTAGCCACAGAGCCACCGCTATTAACACACTAGTGTTAATATTTTCTGATGAAAGAGAAGTCTCAAAATATAGTTTTTAGTAAATGGGTTAAAGACAGAGAAACATATCAGAGTGGTAATCAGGTACAGTATATGGTAATCCCTTGATATACTCTCACTGAAAAATAGAATTGGGTGATAAGGGACGAAGTTAAACATGCTAAAGCACTGAATATTAAACAAGAATGTTTCCCAATACAGTTTAAGCTGGATGCTTTTCAGCATGAGAAAAGAAGCTGGGAGGAAGGTGCAGAGTTATAAGGCCTTGTGAATCATGCCTACAATATGGTATGAAAGAAGATCTGTTTGAAAAGACAGGATGTGAGTCATCTGCATATCTTGGTCAGTGGTAAACATTGAAAATGTATCTGTTAACACTATCAACAGCTGACACTATCACTGCAAATAATATCAATTTGCTATTACCAGTCAAGTAGTTCAAGTTGGTGAGAGACTGTCCATCTCCAGTGAATAATCTAAACACAGTGTTACTGGGAAAATGAGTAATGCACCCTATTTAACATGCTCTAATTTGTGGTTTTGGGAGGCTCCCAAGATGTAGTTCTAAGAAAAGGAAATGGCTTAATTTTTTTTTCAGATCTTTGAAGCTAAGACTCCTTAGGAAATTCAGATTGCTATTACTAGTGGACCAGTAGGTGTCACTGTCCCCTCTGGAACAGAATTTAAAGAACCAATTCTCAAGTATGGGGACTGTGCTGTAGGGAGTACTGGTTTCTCAGATAGATTGTAGATTCTACAATTATTTTATGATTGAAGATCCTGTGGTACTGTTTGTTAGAGTACAGTTGTTAACCCCAGTGTCCTGACAAAACTCATACAGTCTGACTTCTGTAAATTCCCCCTTTCATATGAAATAATTCCTAGTGCCTTGTGTTTGTCTTGTCCAGAGCTGTGTGTTATGGGTACCTATTCAAATAATGGATACACATTTCTTTATTCTTTGTCCTCTATTTTAAACTAGAATATTCTTTGCTCTCCCCTAGTAGTCTTACTAAATGAAACCAGCGATCTCAGCCTCTTACAGCAGCAAAAACCTGCTGTAAGGGTGGCTGACCTCAACAGCCTCACACTGAAGTGGGAACCTCCACATTCCTACACCCAGGATAATTGGATCTTGGCCTGTGTGCTTTGTTTATATGGTTCACTGAGCTGCTCTCGGTGGTGTGAGGTGAGGAGGTGGGGATGTGGACAATGGAGGCTTGGAAGACTACTTGGTCAAACTGTCATGCCACAGTGCTTCTGTTGTAGCTTTCTGTTTCTTGCTTGTGGGTTGTTTGTTAGGGGATGTGGAGTGTACCACTGTACCACTGTACTGTACCACCAACAGCAGGGGAGTGAGGTGTGATTTTTTAATTTATTGTAATTTTTCAAAATACTAGTTCACAAAAGGTTTGCTTGACTTGATTCAGTCTTCTTAGTCTTTATAGAGCAGTAGAACACGACTTTCAACTTGCTTAGGTGCATTATAAAGTCATTCTTCTGAAAGGTCATGAATTTGATGTTTGAGTTTATCGGGGCTTTTGGTAAATACAGTATCTACAATAAATTACATTAATCTGAATTCCCTTTTTCCCCCAATCCACCATCTTAACATTTCTTTGTTGTGACATTCCCTTTTGCAAGTCTTCATCTTGTCTGTTTTGATGGAGTCTTGTTGGTGATATTGTGCATCTACTGTACATATATTTAATGCGTGTGTATCTCAATGTTTTGAGTCCTTAGAGTACTGATGATTTCTGCACTAATTTACTGTAAATTCTTTCTCATGGTTGATTAATCCTATGCAGAAGGCACAGATTTATATTCTCTGAATATGTTCAAGACAATTTGAGCATGCACCTGAATCTTGCATATTCTATTGGTTTTCGGTAGGTGATCTGTTAATCTCCTGGTGGAGTTTTTTTTAGAAAATTGAAAATTTCTTATATACTGAAGGTTCTTTCAGAAAATCCACTTTAAAACCATCATAACCAGATGTTTTCTGTTTGTCATCATCTTCTTTGCATACACTATGTCTTCTAGTAGCTCTTCTGGGAAGGCTGTGCTTCTTCTTGCCCTGAATGCACAGCTCCTCTGAGGTCTTGTCACTTCCATGATGTGATTCTGTTGCACATTTCTGATGCATCTAGATTCTTTTTTATCACTTTTGGTTGATGCATCATTTGATGCTTTCAGAGGTTCTTGATGTTTATGGACCTATTTGGTTTCCTCATCTATTTCCTTCCTTTCAAATTAACATTGCGCAAACTCGTTCTCTGTTAAAGATATTGAGATTGTGCAATCTTCTTGTATGTGTTTGCTAATTGTCTTGAAAACAACTGGGACTTTTTCAGGTTTCTTTTCAAGGCTGATTTTGTGCTGAAAATGTTTGTTGTCCTGTCTGTCAATTCAATTAATGCGTCTTTAATTTTTCAAAGCAATTTAACTACTGAATTCAACCTAATTTGATTTTTCTCTTCTTTGAACCTTCTCTGACATCTTTTAAGATGACTTTATTAATGTTCTTAAATACATCAAAAACATGTATTTGTAATATCAAAAACTTTGAATGTGGACAATCTGCAGTTGGGAACTGTTTATTGGTAGCTAGTCTAACCATTTATCTGTTGTTGGATATAAATATATTAAGTAGCAATGACATCACAAGGTTAGAAAGCAGAACTGTCAGAAGAGTTTTAATAGTTATATATAGTTATAGTAAGAACTACCTTTTTGAATCAGGGTGTTTTAAAGAGCAAGCTGAAATCATTATCTTACTGTACATTGTTAAATATATGAAAATGAATTATCCAGAATTAGATTCTTTTTTTTATGGAAAGTATTTAATTTGGGAAGTTAACTGACACATTAACAAACTGTTCACAGAAATACTGTACTTTCAACACCATACTGTATGTCAGTAGAAGTGTTAACAGGGATTTCTTTGGCTGAATCCTATTAATGAAGTAATAAGAAAATTAGTAATCAATAACCTTCCATGCAGGCAACTGTATCAATTATTTTGTTATTTTTTAGATTAATTCTCATAGTTCCAAAAACAGACACAACAAAAATAGTTGCATTTTCAACTCTTGGTCATGGAAACATTTACTGGTTTTGAGGTTTTGTTTTTGCTTTGTTTTGTACGGTTTCAATTTATCATCACACTAATCCTGAGCATGTCAGTGACAGTGCATTGCACATACAGTATACACATAATTCATTCGGTTTAGTACATTGATGGCTTTGGAAAATGTGCTGTTTTCAGTATCTGAGCTGGCTGTTTTTCACATAGCCAACTCAATGCTTGACCTCACTGAACAGTGAGAATTTGCATCCAGTAATGAAACCTTGAACACGAATGGCTAACAGATCAGATGTATCTATGCTAGAATAATATTTCTGCTTTATTATGTGTTACATGCTTTCTCTGGACATCAAGAGCCAAATTCACTTTGAAGAAGTTCTGTAGACTTACAGAGATATCTAATGCAGGAAGCTGAACAGCCACATTTTATGCAGACTGTGTGAAACCACCAACAGTTTCTAATATTAAAATCACTAAGTGTTCAGGAATGACTGAGCTTTAGAGTAGTCTTTAAAGATAAAATTACCTCTTGCACATCAAGGTTTCTTAAAATCAAAAGGCAAAACCAGTAGTTGCTAAATACAGAATTGTTTGCTTTGGCAACACAGATGCTAAAATTACAACAACAAAAAGATTAGCACAGCCCATGTGCAAGCATGACACACACGCATTAAATGCACCATGGTCTCTTAGTCTACATCCAGGAATCAGCTCAGGACACTCTTCTGAGATGTTCATTTTCATTTTTTTAAGCCACTCCAGTGTAGCCAGTTTTAGATTTGAAGCTTACCCTAGGATTTGCCAGGACTTTCCTCCATTTCTGATCCCTTCAGCCCTGACAAGCTTCCCAGTCTTTGTTAATGACAAACAGTACTGCAACATACCACTGCCACCACCATGCTCAACCGTAGGGATGGTGCTGACTGACTGATATACTATGGTGGGTTTGTGTCAGATGTAACACTTTACAAAGACAAAGGTTTTGTCTTTTCTAAGCACAAAACATTTGACCACAAAGGCATGTCTCTGCAGTATCACTTTAGTGCTCTGCTGCAAAATCCATGCGAGATTTTAGGTGGCCTTTTTTGTGGGGTGACTGGGATAGTATTGAACCATTTCCCCCCATCTCAGCCACTGAACTCTATAATTCTTTGAAAATTGCCACTGATCTGGTGGTGACATTCCTGACTCAGTTTAGAGTGACAGCATGATGCAGGTAGTGTCTGGGTACCTTCCAGTTCTTAAAAACCAGACCTCACCATGCTCAAATAGATATTCTAAATAGAATAGATTCATGAATTCACTTGAAATTCACTAGTTGACTGAGCGGCCTTTCAAAGAGAGGTTTATTTATTCTGAAATCATGAGAACTGGTCACAGAGGCCACTCAGCTAATTGTCCAGCTCCTTAAAAAAATTGTATGACTTTAAATAAATTTACTGTAGGTTTTCCACAGCAAAGAGTTTGATTACTTATGTAGTCATAACTTTTACAATTGTATTTCAAATAAATTATCTATTTACTTCTTTCTTTGTGTTTTTTGCTTTGACTGCATGGAATAGCTTGTGTGTAAAACAAATGATCATCTCTATGGTTACAGTGGGGTGGAGCGGTGGCTCTGTGGCTAAGGATCTGCACCTGTGGCTGGAAGGTTGCTAGTTCAAATCCTGGAGCTGGCAGAGGAAACCTACTCTGTTGGGCTCCTGAGCAAGGCCCTTAACCCTAACTGCTCCAGTGGTGCTATACAATCGCAGACCCTGCACTCTGACCCCCAGCTTCTCTCCCTGTCTCTGTGTCTCATGGAGAGCAAGCTGGGGTATGCAAAAAGATAGTTCCTAATGCAAGAAATTGTAAAATGAAGTGATGCTCATTGCAGGAATTAGTATTTTCCCATGTTATTAATATTTTGTATGTTTACTTTCTATTGATATGTAATCAGTTAAGCACCAGCTCAATTCATGTAGATATCCATCCATCAATTTTCTAACTACTTTGTCCAATACAGGGTCATGGGGGAGCCAGAGTCTATCATGTACAGTACAGTATCCATTTATATATATATATAAAACTAACATTTTCCCTTTTCATATTGCATTTCCAATTAGACTACACAGCATTTTACCCCTGTTTGGTACAAGTACTGTCATGATCTTAAACATGGCTTGTCAGGTTTAGTTTGACAAACCTTAACAAGCTCACATCCAGCTGTACGTATTGTCTAAGGAATGCTGTTCTTTTTGTGAACAAATGTTTGTGTTTCCAAAGAGAATAAAATAATTTCTTGAAAGAGAGCCATGTTTACAAACCTTATTTAATTCTGTGCAATCTTTTACAAGATTGGTATCCATATGAAATGTCTGAGAGTGGTGGTTCTTAATGAAATAAAGAGTACAACAAAGCACAAAGTGCAGTTAGCCAGCAAAGTGCAGTTAGCCAGTTTATGTACAGTTAGCACTCAGACAGATTCAGTATTAGTCAGTATTACAGACATCCTTGTCAAAGTCCCTAATACAATGTGAGTGATGTGAGCAGACACAAAAAGCAGCTATTCCATTTCACTGTTTGAAGGGTTTAATGGTGATTTATAGATATTAAAATCACTTTGATGAGAAAACAATTGATTGGGGATTTTTTTCATTTGGAAAAGCAAATGCCATTCAATTTCAATCCCCTTTGCAAATTGAAAAGATCTCCATGCCCTTGCTCTTATTATGTTCCTGTCTGCTCAGATGTGGTAAAGCATAGCCTTTCTGTGCTCTACGTCTTCATCCTGAGAGAGTAATTTACCAAGAGCGTGTGGTTGACAGGCCAAGTGCTCAGACTTCCTTGTGATTTTAGCCCTGTTGCAGCATACAACCAGCAGTCTTTAAGACCAAACTATTAATAATTGATTCATCTTATCAATAAACATTTGAGCGCTTTAGGTAGGAACCTACAGTGTCTTATGGGTCGAAGTCTGTTTTATGACTTCTTGGATAGATCTCATAGCCCTGTGAACCAGTTTAAATTGAGTCAACTTAATTGGGTCCTTTTTGTTAGATTTTGTAACTGCCTCGGTATCTAATCTGAACTGAATCTAATCTGAAGCTGTATCTCAGGACGTTTTGAAGATGGTGATTCCAGCGCCAGTGAGCCCATTCCTGAAAATGAAGATTCTGCAGATGATTCCCTAGATGATGAAAGTCAGTTAAGTAGCATGTGGCTTCATACAATTCTGATTTCTTGTGGATGTCCTTTATATTTACATAGATCCAAATGGTTAACAACCAATCAATATAGAGCTGAAGATTTGCTGATGCTTAAAATGATAAACAATGTCTCACCACCAGACAGCCACTATATACCAGCAGCTACTGTATACCACCCTGCAACTCATGACTAGCAACCCCCTGATGCTAAACAGGTGTGAGCCTGGCTAGTACTTGGATGGGAGACCTCTTGGGAAAGCTAAGGTTGCTGCTGGAGGAGGTGCTAGTAGAACCAGCAAGGGATGCTCCAAGGTCCTGACTCTCCATAGTCATTAAAAATCCCAAGCCATTTCTCAAAAAGAGTATGGGTGTTGACCTGGCTAAATTTCTCTTTACCTATCATGGCCTCCTAATAATCCACATCTATGAATTGGCTTCATCACTCTATTCTCCTCCCCATTGGTAGCTGATGTGTGGTGAGCGTTCTGGTGCACTATAGATGCTGTTGCCTCATTGAGGTGGATGCTGCACATTGGTGGTGGAGGGGAGACCCCATTACCTGTAAAGTGCTTTGAATGTTATGTCCAGAAAAAGTCGGTAAAAGTGTAAGGAATTAACATTATTAAACAATGTTACCTATATATACATACAGTAAGCATTAATACTTCCTGCTTTATACCTGCATTAGATGATTGTCCTATGAAGTGATTATTTCCTTAAGAGATCTTAAACTTGGGGCTAGGCGTTTTAAGGAGGAATAGTAAATAAACCAATTTTGATGGGCACCTGAATAGTTCAACCAGTAAATTTGACCAACAGAGCACTGACTGAGCTCTATGATCCAGGTTTTACGTGATACAGCCTGGATAATCTCACCAATGAACCGTACCCAACTATAACCAGGGTTCTCCAAGCAGTGACACAAAAATATCTGAGCCTATTGCTGAAAACAAATTAATTAGGCTTCATTCAGGGATTAATTTGTTCGGGATTAGTTGAGTAGGCTTTCACAGCTACTGCTGACATGGGGGTTGTCAGTTAGGAACATACCTAACAATAGAAGATTCTAATTAAAAACAACTATGAGGAATGTATTGTAAAACATGTAAGGCATGATTTCTCTGGTTCTTCTTCCCAGTTGCATCTGACAGTAATGGCACGACCATCACCAGAGCAAACATTCTACAATCTACACGTGCAGTGGTTGAAGGTTAGTTAATTTCTTATCCATAGCTTCTCACAAACCTTTCCTTTAATTTTTTCCTAAGGAATTTAATTTATAGTCATTTAGGAACATGACACAAATTCTGTAACTTTTAGGTTCTCTAACTTTTCTTTTCTACTGTTTTTTCCATCTTTTTGTTGAGATCAGAATTGCACAGCTTTGGGCCTTCAAACTCAATGTCCAGCAGATTTTTTAAGTCTCATTAAATCATCGATACCAGGCTGAAGACCTATGAAAACTGTTCAATTGTTCCCTTAAAACAAATATTTTGCCCAACTACTGTAGGTTGTTAGGAGATAAGGTAGAATGAAAACTCCCATCTGACAGTAAATTTAGCCATCCAGGATCTGAGTGAGATGGCTCCATTTAAATATTAATGCTCATTGTGTTCCATCAGAAATAAGCCTTGTTGTTTCTGAGAAATTGTAGCTCTGAGAATTTTTTATTACACAGTGTCACAGTATTCAGTGGCCAATCATTTTTTAAGATCTCTGACAATGACTCAGGAGAGAATGAGATGCTTCTCTGATATCTCCAACTAGCCAAACCATTTATAAGATCAGTTTATTGGCCATATACAATTTCTTGTATTAGAAATTTGTCTTTTTGCATACCCCAACCATGAGACACACAGAGAGAGAAGCCTGGGGTCAGAGCGCAGGGTCAGCCATTTATATGGCGCCCCTGGAGCAGATGGGGTTAATGGCCTTGCTCAGGGGCCCAACGGAGTAGGATTCCTCTTTTGGCCACGGGATACAAACTGGCAACCCTCCAGCCACAGGCGCAGATCCTTAGCCACAGAGCTACCGCATTTGTGAAACGCTGCATGTTCCACAGTGCCTGAAATAAAGTTAGTGCCAACTGAAGGAGAAGCACACCTCTCTCCCTTGACACTGAAAGGCTGCAGGCACCAGGCAAGACACAGGCTTGACTGTCTGTTTGCCAGATAGCCAAGAGAATCCTGGATGACTAACCTTGAGCCTACAAGGGTCAAAGCGGGCTGGTGACATGACCCAGGCTCGAACAGACATTTGGCTTGGACCTTGGAGATCAACCTGCACACTGAGCTACTGGAAACATCAAAGGCCAATCTCTTAATCAGACAAATAGCTTTAGTTTCTCTCTGACTCATTCTACTGTATGTGCTTATTAGCAAAAATGTAACGTTATGCTGAAAGAAAAAACACAGCCCAACCAAAAACAAGGGATCCTTTTCCTTTTCACAAATTAATCCCTGAATGAAGCCTAATTCATTTTTTTTCTATGCTAGATTTTGAACCAACTGTGTTCCCACATATTATGTGCAAACTATGAAAAAGGCAGATTCTAAACTTAACAAGAGATCATTAATGTTACTGTTCAGAATGAATTATTTTCATAAACGCAAGATATAATGCACATATTGATAGTATTTCTAATGTTTTCAAAGATGATGGTAAAAATTCCAGCAGCAGAAAAGAAAACGAAGAACCAGTGGATGACGCAAGCCCACCATACCAAATTATTGTTCCAGCTGCGCTTCTGCTACTAATAACAATCATTGTTATAATAGTTCTGGGAGTGATTTATTCCAAGAGGAAAAAAAACAAAAATGTGGGTAAGTCCTGTAAATTTCCAATTTGTCAGTTCTTTCTGAATTACACAACTAAATTAAAGCAGCATTCGCAGGTGCTAAAGAATAAGAAAACACGTAGAAATGAAATTCTCTCTACAGAGCAAATTGTTTTTATAAAACCTTCAACATTGTCTCAGTATTATCTTAATTGTAAGCTTTATCTATAATATATGAGATAATCAAACTGACATTCCAGCATACAATGGTAGAATATAGATTTTTAGATAACGCTATGTTATTCTTGGTAGATGCTAATAAAGTATTTTTGATAGGGTTTTTTAAAAGAAATCTCACAGACTCCGGTGCACAAAACAAAACTCAAATCAGTGGAGGATGCCAGCTCACTTATAATGTAATGCCCAGAAAGTTACAGCCTACAGCATGAAAGATGATTTTCTATTGACAATTTAAGATTTATATGTTCTCTTAATCAAATTGTTTTCTCCGTTAGGTTATGAGAAAGAAGATGGACATTTAACTGGTGGGGAGATACCTAGGTAAGAAGAAACATGCTGTGTGACTGCAATACAAGACCTCCTAACATGAATGTTAACATAAACTCTCTCTCATTCTCCAAAACAAAAGGACAAAGTCCTATCAGTTTCTTAAACAGTTAATTCTCCTTTGTCAGCCACATCACCACTGTACATCATAGTAAAGCTTTGCAGTTCTAGAGTTTGTTTGGATAATTAAAATAGGCCGTTTAACCTACATTCTACAAGAATTGGTTTCCATTTTACAAACTGGCCCTGTCTGTACAGTATGTCTATCAAACAAGCTCATCTTGAACCACAGGAAAGATTCTAATTCAGCTCTGGGGTGACATCCTCTGTGTGGCTGGGGTAAACAGCAGAGGGGCTGTGAGTGTCCTGCCCCAGAAAAAGGAAACAAAAACACTGCCTGTTAAAACTGCTTAAAGGCACAGACTAAACTTTTACCTGTTCCTTTGCAGCCAATGCACGTTGACACAGCCACCTACTTCAACTGCTTCAACACTACCTAAATACTACTAATAATTAATAATTGCTTATACTTATACAGCCTTTTCTGGACACTCCACTCAAAGCGCTTTACAGGTCGTGGGGACTCCCCTCCACCACCACCAATGTGCAGCCCCACCTGGATGATGTCGGCAGCCATAGTGCACCAGAACACTCACCACACACTAGCTATCAGTGGGGAGGAGAGCAGAGTAATGAAGCCAATTCATAGATGGGGATTATTAGGAGGTCATGATAGGTAAAGACCAATGGGAAATTAGGCCAGGATGCCAGGGTAACGCCCCTTCTCTTTCTGAGAAACACTCTGGGATTTTTAATGAACACAGAGAGTCATCTCATCTGAAGAAATATATACAGTGCCTTGCGAAAGTATTCGGCCCCCTTGAACTTTTCAACCTTTTGCCACATTTCAGGCTTCAAACATAAAGATATAAATTTTTTATTTTATGT